GAATTTTTATATGTTGAAGCAAACGCTAAACAGATGGCATTCTTGTATCTATATTCAAATATACACAATTGAGCAAACTCACTAAATAATCTTCTTCGACAAACTCGAAATATTCTTTTAATTCAGCAACACATTTCGATGATGAACTAAAATGAGTATATAGTTGAGATACATACGACTCAACATCAACCGGTAAATGTTGATGAGAAATTTTGACTGAATTAGATTAAACATGGCAAAAGCAAATTCCTTAAAGAAGAAAGATGCATTTCTACAAGAATTATGTTTTTATATTATACTATTACCTTTGAATAAATTTAAAACTTCATGCTTCAAAATGCTAAAAACCGAATGATATCGACCATAATTTGTGTTCGTATTAATCAGCACCAATGGATGTCAATTTTTGAATATCAAGATTTTTTTTTTTAATACATGATGCAATGTATCAACAATATTATCAGCTGCTTCACGTGGTTGTTCCACAACTTCTAATACAGCTCTTACAATGTTACAGTGTATTGTAACTACATATACCTCGATTCTATCTATTCTCTTTTCTCTGATATTTTCGTTCCTGTTACTTCGTTGCTATTGCTCTTCTTTGTCCTTGATTAACCTTTCTATTCTATTCTACTTTTGTCCTTATTTTTATGTTCGTATATAAACATTAGTTTTTTCAAAGAAAAAACGGAAAGAAGAAAATATATATATCTTTAACAGTGTTCGTCGCTCTTCGGGAGCGCAACCTCTAACATACAATACCGGATTTAATTGTAAAATAATTAATAATGAATGGAAACATCTTTATGTCCTCCTTGTTAGAACCAAGGGGGAAAGTGCAGGCACCCAGCACCCAGCACCTGCTCAGCACCTACAGCACGTATACCGCATTCCACTGTGAGCATCTACGGTACCTACGGTACCTACGGCACTTTCAGCATCTTCAACAACTATTCTATTGTCTTAAGTACTTAAGATAATGAAACAATGATTGCAGGTGCTGAAGGTGCCGTAGGTGCTCATAGTGAAATGCGGTATAGGTGCCGAACAGGTGCTTTAGGTGCTGGCAGGTGCTGTAGGTGCTGTAGGTGCTGGTAGCCCAGGAAGAAGTGAAACGCTGAAAATGCCGTTTAAACTGTCATAATCACCCGTTCTATTAGGAAACGGTAATAAACGGCAAGAAAAAACGTGATCATCACTTTTCTTGCCGTTTTTACGTCTAGTCAGCGTTTCCAAGCGTTATTCACATTAAATAGTCTCTGAAACGGTTATATAAGTCATTTTCTTCTTCGTAAAAGATAGTGAGAAATGTTTATGATCATCTTTTCCAACGAAAAAAGCTGTAAATGCTTAAAGTAGATTAATCTTTTTTTTTGGGACTGGTTCCCATAATTATTTATATTCTCGTGAATTTGTATTTTTTATTCTTTCACAGTACGCGTGAAAGACATTTAGTCCGTTTCGAGCTTCCATTTATCTTTTGATCTGCTGAATTACTTCAAAAAAGTATTCGCTGTAGATTTAATTATGTGAAAAAGAGTTCCTTTGATTAAAGTAAGAATCCGCATAACATTGACATCATATGAATCAAAATAATGTGTTGGTGCGAATATTAGAATATCGAAAAAATAGAGGTTGATTTTATTGATTTAAAGTCTCAATCTTCACATTGAAATCCTAATTTTTTGATTATGCTCAAAGCTCGAAACGTACGATAAATTTTCCTAATATTCTCAAACATAAATTTGCTGCATTAGAGTTTTCATCACAAATTATCAACTCATCAGTATATGTGCTAATTGAAACTCGTTTTATGACAAGCAATACAACATTATTAATTATGAGCTACATAATCCAATTAAAACCTCTAGCCAAGTCAAAAGAGAGTAATATTTTCAGTTAATATATATTCGACAAATGTATGTGGCATAAACAGAACGGATCACATATGCTTAGTAATTGATTGTTAGTCTTAATCAAATTGGAGAGATAGAAAAGCAAAGGAAAGAAAAGAAAAATTTAAGTCAAGAAGTAAAAGAAAAAAGTCAGTGAAGAGGAAGGAAAAAAGAATACAGATAGAGAAGGACAAAAGAGAAAATAAATCCGTCCAGCACATTCATTCGATGAAGATTGCTCAATAAGTAAACATTACTTCTGCGAGCGATGTGAATGCACACAAAGATAAGATACATGAATGATATCTGAATTTAATCTAAAATACTATTCAGATTACGAAGAAATTCACACATTTACTCTATACGAATTGTGAATAAGGATTCTCATTGACCGTTGGTCGAGCTTAGAAAACATGAGCAAAAAGATTCAGATAACTCTAATAGAAGAAGTCTTCAGAATTGAACGATGTAGAGGATTTAGTTTCACCTTACGTTCTGCGTTAATTTTTGCTTTTTCTTAGGATAGTATTTGTGGAAAACTTTCTTGTCCATTCCATAGAGATAGTTGACAAAATACGATATTCGTAGAAAAAATATATAATATAGAACTTATTTGTCATTTGGTAGCACCACATTCCATAATAAAATCATTAGTGAAACTAAGCTATTTAACATTTTTTTCAATTGATTTCTTAAGATCAATCAGTGTGACGTTTCGTTCTAACTAAGAACATTATCAAACACAAATAAATAGACAGAAGAAGAATATATATAAGAGTAAAATAATGTCATCGTTTTTATTCTATGGTTTTAAGCATTTCAATACACGGGGGAATAAAATTGATCTGTCTGCATTAGAATGTTTAAAACAATAGAATAGAAAAACGACGACATTATTTTACTCTTATATATATTCTTCTGTCTATTTATTTGTGTTTGATAATGTTCTTAGTTAGAACAAAACGTCACACTGATTGATCTTAATAAATCAGTTGAAAAAAATGTTAAATAGCTTAGTTTCATTAATGATTTCATTTTAGAGCTTGTTATTTTACTGAGTTCGTCGTCGATTGAAACTCTTACGCGAAGAAACTTTAATTTTTTAACTCTTATACCATAAAAAAGAATATAATGCTGAGTATATATTCCGTTTTCAGTATAAATCTTAAAAGAACAACTAGATGATAAATATGTGTAAGTCATAAAGATTACAGTAATCAAATAAAAAACTTAGCTGCTCTATTAACTTTTGTAGCAATAAATTATTTTTTATCTACGACAGACGACTGTTAAAGAACGAGAAAAAAAGTCTCAACAATGAATAAATTTTAGAAGTACGTCAATAGTGTTGTTGTTCAATATTTTCTTTTGATAAAATATACCAAAAAATTGACATCGTTTTATCTATGGTATTTTTCCCCTAGAATTTTTCGTTTGTCGTATCAATTCATTAATTCGTCTTAAAAGTCTAAGTTTCATTATCACATACATATCTGATACTAATAAACTAATTTAGATTCTTCTTTCATTATTCATCGAGATTATCATAAATCACAACTTTGTAACTAGTTATATATTTCTCCATAGATATTAGAATAAACTGGACTCCAGAATTCATAACAAAAACTTGAGAGGATTTCGATAGAATATTTATCAGATGTAAGACAAACGCATCATCCTTGAGCGATCGACAAATTTCTAATCACCTACGAAGAGTATAGAAAAAAAGACTTTTAAAAAATGATCGATGTGTCAGAAGAAAGAGTGCAGCCAGGTTTTTGTAATATCTCAACATATTCTAATGAAAAGATCTCATTTTATTCTCAAGAAAACAGAATAGTTAAATTTCTAAAAAGTCAAAATATTTATTTAAAGAAGTGAAAGTTCATACATCTTTAAAACATAAGGCATGAGTAGAAGTCTTGAACAAATATCAATACAAAAAGAAAAGTTTGTAGAAGAGACTTCTATTCATATCTTATGTTTTATAGATGCATGAACTTTCATTTGTTTAAATAAATATTTTGAGTTGTTAGAAATTTAACTTCTTTTTCGAAAACAAAATGAGACCTACTCATTGAAATGCATTGAGATATTGAGAAAAAGTACGAACGTGTATTGTCCATCATCAAATTGATAAAATTAGATAAATGGTTAGGTTACATGTAAGACGAAGATGATTCTGGAATATTAAACTTCTTTTTCAAGTAAAGTATCGTTTACGACAGATAAAATAAAGAAAAATTATGGTTTTAACGTCAACAAATCACTATTTATGACATTTACAATCCGACGTTTAAACGACAAGAACATAATATTACTTTATGACGTAGAAAATCGTTTTTTGTGATAAACGCGTAATTTGGTCAATATATCGTCGTTTAAACGATGTGACATTAAACATCGTTTTAACGGCAGAATAGGGTTTCCTCAACTAACTGGGAGGTGCTGGTAGGTACTGGTAGGCGCTGGTAGGTACTGGTAGGTGCTGTAGGTGCTGAGCAGGTGCTGGGTGCTAGGCATCTGCACTTATCCCCTTGGTTAGAACCATCAAAACATAAAGAATAAAAAGAACATTGATCAAGTTGTTGAATAACTTTAGAGGTAAAAAATGGAGCTAAAATTATAAGCTAATATTGAGCACAAATGTCTTATAAACGCTGAATAGTTTTTCATCTTTTTTATTAGATAATATTTTTTCTAGAATTACTGCAGATAGAATTAAGGGTACCCCCCTCTTCTTTAACCAAAAACTCGATTTCGAGCTGAGCCTAAGATATGATAGCTTGAAGTGCCATATGCAACTAGAGACATTATTCAACTCTAAATACCTTACTTGTACAGAGTTATTGGATTGAGAAAATTTTTTTTTCATAGTGATCATATGTAACCTTTTTCCTTTTTCTTAGCGTTGCGTAAAACACAAATTTTCTAAGTCTAGATTGCTTACGACCTCCGCCCCCCCCCCCCCCCCCCCCCCCCCTTTAACTTTATTCGATCGGGCTGAAATTTTTACCACTAATACTTGAAAGTATTCTCCAGGGGTAAAATCGAGCGTTTTCATTTTTGACATTCCTACTCGGAGATATCGGGTCCTGAAAGTCAAGACCCAGACCAAAATCCGAGTGCTGGCGTATTTCTCTTATAAAAAAAAACAAAGTGAGATTTTTGAAAGAGCTTAAATTTACCTCTGAGGAATAGTCTTAGGTATCTAAAAACAAAATTTCAGCCTAAATGGACAAACTTTAAGGGGGGTCGTAATGTGTTAGGATGCGGGCCTCTGGAAAATCAGTGTTTTCCAGAAGCCCCCACAAAAACTTACTTCAATTTTTTTTCCTCGAACACGTATCTCTTTATTTTTAGTCCTCTATCTGTGCTAAAAATTTCAGCTTGATTGGTTGTACCGTCTTCGAGAACCAGAAAGTGTCAAAAAGCGGGAGAGGGGTGTACCCTTAACTCACCAAGCACATTTACTGACAATTCTCGTGCTTTTGTTTTACCACAAGTGATGTTTTGTCCAATTTGAGAATCATTAAAAATCTTCTTAAGAAGATCAACTGTACACGATTGACTTAAATAACTATAGCCATGGCTAACTCCATGATAAACAAGACTAAGTTCAGCTGCAGTCAATTTAGTTAGCGTTGATGATGCTGGAATACAATCGTGTATTGATCGTGCTAAATAACAAAAAATAAGCTATTCAATAAAACGCACGGCGTACCAATCTTAATTTTTACAATGTTCTTTTGCTTGGGTTTCAGCTAAACGTTTATGATTGGATTGTTCAATGTGATGATTAATTAAATAATCACCACCATTAGAAATAGAGAAATCTGATTTACAAATAGATCAATGAGCAGAATATTTATTAGTTCAGCATTCTCTGATAAATGCTGCATATTTTGGATCTTTCAACCATTTTTGTTTGAAAGTACAACGTCGTTTTGACTTTGATGAATTAATTTTTTTTCCTTTCATACCAGTAGTTGGTTTGTTCTGTAAACTAAAATCTTCTTCACCTCCTGTTGTTGTCGTTTCTGAATCATCAGAAACTTCAATTTCCAAAACCTTGTTCAATGCCATACGAAGATTATTATCAAATTCATTGAAGACAAAATCTACCACTAGATTCATTTTGGAGACAGTATGTATTTATCAAATATAATACGAAAAAGCAATGAAACCATGGAAGACAAGAAAATGAGAACATTTCATTAAAATTTATTTCATTATTCATGATGAACTTAGTATTTAAAACCGAAAACATAATTCAGGTGGAATTAACAAAATAAATGTCTATATCTGTTGGTCTGTTCCTCGCCAATAAATTTTATTATAGATATCTTTATAAAGATGACAAAACTCTAGTGAAGAACAGCTTTTTTTTCGTTATAAAATTAGTTAATCGCATACAATGCTTCAAAGCCTAAATGGGGTACAAAATTTTCCGGGGTACGAAATGACGAAATGGGGTACAGTTGGCAACCGTGTATACTCACCAACTTATTACATCTGTAAATCATAGTGAGTCAAATGGAACTTGAAAAGCTATATGAGATAGTATTCATTAGAAAAAGAAATGCTTAAGAAAATACGCATAAATTTCAAATATGTGTTAGATTATGAACTCTTCATGTTGCAATGCACTTTTTAAGAATTATTCTAGAATAATCATAATTAGTGTAGTGTTTGAGAATGACTCAAATTTTTACTTCGATTGAAGTTACTTGCTAGACAATGACGAAAGCTATCTACGATAAAAATATATGCATGCAGGTACGAAGATCTGATCGCGAGAGTGAGTAAGAGATATCATAAGTTTTCGTACGTCATTCTCAAGAGTTCATCAAATACTTTCGAATCAGATATTTCTCTCGCAAAGATGAGCTTTTTCATCTGCTAAAAGTCAAGTTTCAAAGGAGAAAACTAGTGAGAAAACCAAATGATATGGGCATTATACAGATAGTTGATCATATTCGATTTGCTAAGTTTTGAATATGCTATCAACGCCACTCGATACCGTGATGCAGGAAAATTTCAACTCTTGAACACATCGTTGCCATCAGAACATATAATCGTATAAATAGTTCATCTAGAAAATGAAAACAGAATATTTCAATCCAACATAATCTAAGAGGGCAATTGCTAAAGCATTAACAAAAGACGAACAAATTACGCGAAAAACCATTTTTCTAAATGACTTCAACAACTCAAAAGAATTGATCGATTGGTTTGCAAACAAAGCAGCTCAGCCCAAGAATTTCTGGATCTAATATGTAAAAGATGTTCCATGTTTATCCATTCATCTGGTTATACGTCGAATGTGACTAATAACTCATTCACAGGGAAACATTCCCAGGTGCCCGAGCACTTTCAAATCGGGACTTAGTACATCTTGCAGACCTTAGTGAACTGTATTTATGGTAAAAAAAAGTTCGTGCTTATGGCCTATTCTTAACGAGATATCGAAGTTTTAGTGAACTTTCTCTGTAGAACCCTATTTGTCCAACACAACCATATTTTCGAATTTTGACATGAAACTTTGCCCACATAAAGACCTTAGCTGGACTAGCTTGCAAAAAACAATGCAGAACTTTTTGGCAAAGTCTCTTCGAGATATGAAGATTCCAAGACATAGACTCTTTTCCATACATAGTGTATATAGCATACATTTGTTCACGTCTTCATATCTCGAAGTGACTTTGTCAAAAAGCTCTGAATTTTTTTTGCAAGCTAGTCTAGCTAAGGTCTTTATGTGGGCAAAGTTTCATGTCAAAACTCGAAAATATAGTTGCGCTGGACAAGTAGGGTCCTACAGAGAAAATTCACTAAAACTTCGATATCTCGTTAAGAATAAGCCATAAGAACGAACTTTTTTTACCATAAATACAATTCACTAAGGTCTACAAGATGTGCTAAGTCCCGCCTTGAAAGCGTTCGGGCACCTGGGAATGTTCTCTTGTCAGTGAAAAACACCAGCCCCATATTATTTCAGATTCAATCCGCCAAAAACTGGTATGAGAGCTTTTAATGATTATCTTACTTGCTCATCTGCTAATTTATACACAGCTTTCATTTTTCTGAAGTCAAAACCCATACATACGTAATTCAATACTCATCATCAATATCTTCGCAGCATTTCGCTTAACTACATCCAGTCATCAGAGAACCGAAACATAAATCGGAAGCTTGTTTCATTCTTGAAATCAATCTCAATCAGAAAATGCTTCTTTATAGCAATATTTACTGCTCATGTTATTAACCACTGTGTTGATTAACAATCCGAATAAAACAGTGTTCTTCTGTTTCAAATCAAATCACAAGGCAATAAAAAGAGACGAAAGATTGAAAGACAACGAAGATGTATAAACAGTACTATGGAACTTCTTGTGTAACATCGCTTAGAAACCATGAGAGGTGTCAATGAAGAGAAGCAACAAACATACACGAGTACTCATCTTTACACTCAAAGTCTCGTGTCCAATATCAGGAAGGTCAGTTTAGAAGTAGTGATGTCATCAAAGGAAATTAAAATTGTATTCGCTTTTGCTCGCGACCTTTTACAAGATGTTGTTCTCCATAGGCATTGATTTTGTTCCAATGGAACTCAAGTTTGGTGAGTGTCTATTTTGAACAAGCAATCAATGATAGATAGAGAAGGTGAGAATATTATTTGGTTTTGTTAGAGAGCTTTAGCAAGATGTTGCGCGTCGTGATTCATAATCTGATTCTCAGCGAGGCTTAATGTGATGAGTGTCTGTTTTGAATATGCATGGAGTAATTGATAGAGAAAGTGGAGATATTACTCTGTTTTGTCCGAGAGCTCTTGCAAGATATTTTGCTACTTGATCTTCGATTTGATTGTCACCGAGGTGCAGTGTAGTCAATGTCTGATTTAAACAGGTAGAAAATGATAGATAGAGAATGTGTAGATATTACTTAGTTTTGTCCGAGAGCTTTGGCAAGATGTTGTGCTCCTTGATCACTGACTCTTTTGTAACTGAGGTTTAGTGTGGTTAGTATCTGTTTTGAGCATGCATTAAATGATGGATAGAAAAGATAAGATATTACTTGGTTTTGTTCGAGAGCTTTGCTAAGACGTTGCACTCCTTCATCGCCGATCTCATTGCTACTGAGTGCAAATGTGGTTAGTGTCTATATGTGTGGAATAAAAAAGTGACAATGATGGAAGAGCTTGTGAAAGGATATCATAACGGCAACTATAGATGGTTATTACTGTTTTAATGGAAAGTCTTTGATGTAGCTCATATATGTTTAAATAGTTTTCTCTTGAAATAAGAAATACTGGAAAATGTCAAGAGGTAATTATACAAGTAGCGTTCGTCGGTTCGACTCACTTGACCCTCGACTGTATCAAACAGAAGTATACAAGTCTCATCCATGGACACCCAGTTATGAAACAGCTGATTAAGGGAGAACTTATCACATATGTCGGATTGACTGAATTTTCATTCTGAAAAATTGAATTGGTTGAAAATTCAATATTAAAAGCACGAGAATCGAATACCTAGCCAACGTTTTTTGTGATATTTCACATTCCACTATGTCAAAAACTTATTTTATTTCATATAACCGTTTCTACACTCGAGAAAAAATTTATTTTCTCAAAAAAACCTTTTCTCCTGAACCCAAAAAAATTCAATTCAAAATTTCGAGAAACTGACCTCAGATTCGGATTCTCCGATCTTGATTTACTTCCGTCAACCTTTATGGAAAATTTTCTAAAGTGGAAGTTTTTTTGACCCCGATGCAGACACACACACAAACTATTTTTTTTCATATGACCCTTCCTACAGTCGAGGGAATAAAATCTTTTATTGTGTGAAATTTCTTTCGAATTGTTTTGGAATTCATAAGGTAGGTTTTGGAGCTTGTGAAATAACGGTGGAGCTCAATATTTCCTGAGCAATTGGGCAATAATAAGTAGTGATGTTCGTCAATATTTGAGGTAGAAAGACGAATGTTTTCCATCGATCAGAACACCCGTTCGTGCTCTCGCACTCGATACACTGTGTGATTTATCAATGTTTTTCTAAGATATTGCTTGAGTTGTGTTTGTTGATTTTACTGATATACAAGAGAAATATACTGCTCATAGTGCACTTCATTCATAATGCAATAGTGTTTTAACGACATTGCTCCAGAAAGGGATTGATCTCAATAATATTTTCGTTATTTCTGTTTCAATGATTGTTTTTCAAATATAGTTTTTGAGTATAATTCGCTCATGATTATTAAAATTATCATCATCTCAACGAATGATACTTGGTTTCATGATTCTTAAATTATTAATAATGACTGTTTTTCGTTGACTTCAATTATTATTAGTGATCAATGAGAGTTTTTGACTGAGTATTAAAAGCAAAAGCTGTTTTCAATAAATCGTCATATTAATTTGATTAGATCAAGTAACGAGTTGTTAGCCAAGAAAAATACTCTAGTGAGACAATATGTTGATTCGTATCTTGGATAAATAAATAATATGTTGAAGATAATGAAAGTTGAATTGTCAGATATAATTGTGTTTTACCTGATATTGATGGTAACTGTCGACAATTACATTCATACGAATACAAACGTTTCTCGTGAAGCATAAAATATTGAAATCACACAGATGATCAAGAATTCGGTAGACGAGTTCTACGGGTAATGTAAGAAGAGTCGGAATAATTTTGGTCGACATGGATGAAGATTCTTTTGAGATGTTTGGAATGTTGCAATGTATGCTAAATATATGGTCTGCTAAGTAGGGCTTTCTTCATTTAAATGGGTTTATAGTGTTTTGTATTGTGAGTTTCTGATGCTTATGCAATTACTTGCTTTAGATAAAGTAACGCAAAGTAATGACACATTGTGAGAGCATCATGATAACAATTACATGTTGCATTGTGTTTTATTGAATCTCAGTTGTTGCCTGGCAAAATATGGATGTTTATATAATCTTGGAATTTCTGTTTCGTTCTTCCTGAGACAAACTTAGGCTGAGATATGACGGAATTATTGGTCGCATAAGATTTTCTAACTTAACTTAATGTTGCAAACGTAGTTTATTCTCTGATAATAAATTAAGTGGAAATAGTCGACTTATATTTAAATCAAGCAATTTTAGACAGAACTCTTTTTAAGATTTTATCGTTATGCTTGGTCTAGACCACTATGTAAACGCTATGTACTCATCTGTTATCTACTCTGTCATTATCTCCTATGATGAAAGTGTCCGAAATTTATAGTTAGATACTACGTGAGATAATATAGAATCAATAGTTCTGATAAAGTTCATTTAATACCATCGTGTAATTCATGGAAGAATTGTTTGAAGAACTCTCTCCTCGGCATCGTATTTTTTTAAATTTATGTTATTCAGAATTTCTTCTTTATTATTGATAAGATCCAAGCAATGTTTTCGGGTTGCTTCATATTTCAATTAATAGTTTTCATTGACTATTATACACGCTATAAAGCGCTATTCTTAAAATATCTGATTGTCAAGCTTCATCGTCGTTAATATTGGATGGATATTTGAGTGCACAAGAATAATACATCGGTTTTCAAATACTACTGATGCTCTGTACTTTCGTTGAATCGAAGAGATGAATAAGTTCCCAATGGTCAGCTAAGAAAAAAACTCAGATAATAATAAATTAAAACACTAAATCAAAATTCTTACCAATCACTGACATCATATCAATGTATCAATTAACAAGTTCATGTTGGATTGCTGTTAATCATATCACACTAACTAATCATGTTAAATTGAAATGCTAGCGAAAGAAAAGAAATTTAATATTTTAAAATAAAAACAAATTATGACGAATTCACAGGTAGAGAAATATAATCGAGACCTTTCATAGTCTTTTAAAACTCAATATAAGTACATGTCGATTACTTAACTGACTTTCATTATTATTTGTATTCTATAAGTGTAGAAGATATTGAAAACATGCATTATTTCCACTTCTGTATCAATTGAACAATAATTTAAAAGCGTAATAGATTTATTTCTAGCCTAAATCAAAAAAAGAAGAAAATGATCATCAAGAATAATTAATAAATGCAATTTAATGTTTGTTGATGTGCTTTTGACGTTGGCACACATTACGAATGAATGAACAAGTTAAGTTTAACAATTTAATAATGAATTTTGATCTATTCGTTCATATTCATATTGTATGCCATTAACAAGATCAAATCAACTTTCTAGACTATGTATTGGATTGGTAAACATGTTAGTTTTTGCTGTAGATTTTGACCAAAAATTGTCGAAACAGCTTTCTCAACTAACAATGAATTTCAATTTAGGGAATTGATAACGAAGACATTTTTCTGATGATTTAAGCAAGAACAATTTTTCTTGCTTATTCCATTGAGAAATTATAAGTGTTTTTCTAGAAGTCTTGAAATCGGCCGACTAACTGCTGTCCACTCTAAACTCTGTCGAGTTTCATGTATTTATCTATGGTGAGTCCAACGATGATGTTTGTTTTTAGTTTCGATATTATCCTAAGTTGCTATATCATGATTCTTATAATTCAACCTATACAAAGCTTATCACACTGGATAGAATCTTTTCAAGATTTTGTTTTTCCAACGTCAGATCGTCCCACAACTAAAAACAAATACATTCATTGAACTCTGCGTAGATGAATGCACCGAACCCAATAGAGTTTAAAGTGGTCAGAGGTCAGTTGGTCCATTTTAAGGTTTTCAATAAAACGCTTATAATTCTTTTTTGGAATAAATTAGAAGAATTGGTTTGTGTAGACCGACAGAGAAATATCTTCACTATCGATTTCGTACACTGGAAATCATGGGTAGTTGAGAAAGTTTTTTCAACATCTTCCGGTCAAAATCTGCAGCAAAAGCTCACCGGTTTGACCAATATATATAGTCCAGATAATGCAGCAAGGTTTCACTTCGTTCGTGAGATATTCGAAAAATATTGAGATGCTTTATATTTTGGCTTCAAGAATAGTAATGGTCAGTTATTTGAATATTTTATTCAAAATCAAAATAAGTTTGAATCGATATAGAAAGATAGTATTTTCAGATGAAACCCAATGCAATACCAGTAAGATACTTCTGAATTCATTTCATATCATCCAAGTAATCAGATATTCATATAACACTTTATGAAAAAAGAAATAAAATTTCATGATACGACGAGCAGAAGATTTTATAATAGAGAACAAAAACATTCGAGTTTTTATTATTAATGCACTCATTTTCAAATGACAATCAATATTTTGTTCATATTTTTCATAACAATCTGAAAAACTTCATTTGAAACCTAATCATTTCATAATCTCTAATTATTTCCGAGTGACCTGATACAATCAAACAAATATAATTTCATCGAACTCTCCAATAGCAAATTCATTATTATAAAAGTTATTTTTTTCATACTAAAAATAACTTCGATATTCGACCCATGTAGATATTTGATTCGTATAAATCTTGAAAAAAATGAGTCGCTAAGTAGAAGAAGAAAAAAATTGACCTTAAGTTGTATATAAAGAAAAGAATTTTAATACAACAGCAACAGACCTAGCCTATGAATTTGACTTTGATATAATCCAACTACGTAACAAATAACATGATTCTTTTTCTGACATTTGAATATTAAATAATGAAAAAACGCTAATGAAACAGTCATTTATCAAAAAAAAATGTTTGCTGTTTTCCTATACATATATATATATGGTTCAATCGTAACATCTATTTAAGATGGCACTATTGCACAAACAAATTACTTGAGTGAATTTGAAACAGTGATAGAAAGTATGACAACAGTAAACGATGAATGTTTAGTCATTTTTAAACAAGTTCTCAAAGAAAATTTTTACCAGTGATAGATAGAAAACAACTGTTATATGCTTGAAAAAATCTTTCTATTTTTCTTTGATGAATATTATTGTGACTTCAGTTTTAGCATAAAAAACTCATTCAACAAAATAACGCACATCACTGCATATATATATAACTAATTAGTATTATATACATTGTTGTTTAATAGTTTATGAACACGCAAGTCAATCAACATATTACGTACGTTTGCCTTTTTTTTTATAAACGAGACCTAATGGTTACATACAGAAAAGAAGAAGGAAACATAAATAGTAATTTTATGATGCATATTTAACTTTGGCTTCGAGCAAAAGCGTTTTCGATCGTCGGCAGACAGACACATAGGGAGGAGGAAGCTAAAAATTATCATTATCATCATCAACCGAGACGACATACTAACCGAGGAAAAAGAAAAAAAAATAGTATAAGAAAACAGCGGAAGATGAATTGAAGGAGAGGAACTGAGCGATACTTGAAGAAAAAAGATGTGCACAAGCTACGACAACTCACCGTTCTGCCACTCAATACAATTATCATAATTATATTCAAGTCGAGTGCTTGGTACCTAAAATCAAGAAACTGTTTCTAGTAAACTTGATAAGTGTACGTATTTGAATGGTTTGTATGAATCTTTTCGTTATCAAAGTCTAAGATTGTAAATAAATATTTTGTAGAAAAAACAAAAAAAAAGTAGTTCTTAAAGTTCCTTTTATTTACGCAAACATTTCAGTTAGTTCCGGTTTTTGTGTAGAAACGAATATTATAAAGTAATTTTTTTTAAACAATATATTTTATGATTTATCCCAATGCAATGAAATTTAATCTTATACACTAACTGAAACAATTTTTGTATATATTTAAGAATTGCTCAATATGTCACGACAAGCAGGATCGTTTTATAGCAGGTATGTATTACACGTGCTTTTTCAAATTTATTATGAACTTAGTCAAAGCATTAGAGATGTATATATAGATAAACTATTTTTTTTTATTGCACTCAATGTCTTGATAGATTTTTTTTATTTGTCCTTACTATAACATACGTACTTCAATCTGAAGCAAATATCGATTAACAATTGTAAGAACTAGAAAAAAGACTATTAAGTGTTGTTTTCTAACTTTCTTTTATCACTTCATATTCACAGCAGTTAGTACTAGTGTAATGTGGAGAAAATATTGGTCGAAAAGTGTTGGGTAAGCATGTATTCAATTTCAGTTTTAGATTATTTATTGAGAAATGTTAATGATATTTATGCTAAGATATGATTATTAGGCAGAGAAAAAGAATAAGTTATTTTTCAAAAAGAGAAAGTGTCACTGTGCCTAGCATTAATTTAAAAGCAATGTGTTAATGAAATTTGGAAAAGAATGCGCACTGTAACAACAACAAGACGAAGACGAACAAGACCTGTTCGACGCGTAAGGTAAAAAAAAAGAAGTTAATAATGTTTATGATGACATCGACTGAGAAAGATAAATGTCAGCTTCATTATTGTAATTTTCATCAGAATAAAAAGTAAAAGATTTATTGTACTTTTTTTTTTATTTCATCACTAAATATCTATTGAATTATTTATAAAATGTCTAAATATAGATTTCATTACAATGATATTTAAAAGAATGTTAAATTAAAAATTCTTCGACGCTCTTATCTGAATTTGTTACGAATATTTCAAGATATTTGATATTAATGAATATGTTAGATGTCAATGATTCTACAATGAGGTACAAAATTCTTTTTTTCTTTGATATTCAATATTGTAGATAATTTTTAGGTAGAAAATTTTTTCATTTTTTGTGATACAATTAGCTTTTCCGGCATAGTTCTTTTATTCTAAAAACTCAATAAGATAATTTTTAGACTCAGCATGTAGAACTGCATCTCTAAACATGAATTAATTCATGCTTCTAGAAACAATTTTGCATGCTGAGTTCAAAAATGATCTTTTCAAGCTAGTAGAACTAAAGAAATATTCAAAAACAAAAAAACTTCTTTTATTTCAAAGCAAATTGAGCCCATTTTCTCTATAGAAATAATCTATAATATTCCATACTCATTTTAATAGCTTTTTTTCGTAAATTTTATTTCCAAAAAAAAAAAAAAGTAGGACAAAATTTCTAAAATATATATTTCTATAAACTTTTAAAAATTCTACTTAACTATGTAAAAATATTGCAATACAAAAATTTATGCACTCTACTAGAATTCTTAATACTTTAATATTGTTTCTTTATTTCCTGTGTGATATAACTTAAAAAAAAATAATTATATCCTTCAAAATCATTATTCTAGGTTGAAACATACATAATTATAGTTTTAATATTAACTTCAAGTTTCTATTTCTAATAAAACATTATTGAATCGACTATCAATAAGATCTGTATCGTAATACATTTATCAAATAGAATACATAAACCTGTTTGTTGATCATGTACTAACATAATTTCCCTCAAGCAATAATTATCTATAAGCAGAACTAAACAAAACACATCCATATTTGAATGAATATGATTTTTGTAAGGCAATATTTTGATTAGAAACTGTTCACATGACATAATCAACGTCAAATCAATAATATTTGATAAACAGTAGATCAAAAACGAAATCGAATTTTTTTCTTGTTTGTTTGTTTATTAATTACACGAAAACTCATTAAGATAGACATCAACAAGATTATTAGTACATATGCCAATAACTAGAAGAAATTTTTTTTTTAATTTTGAACGAATCAATGAATATATAAAAAAAAACTCATTCTATCGGAACGAAGAAAAAAAATGCAAAACTTTGAATCATAGTATATTAGATTTACTAAATGAAAACAAATCTAAAAAAATCATTGGAAAACACAAAAATTGACATAATGTATTAATATTTGATCAAAAAGAAAAAAAGAAATGTTAATAGAAGAATGTTAGATGTGATTGTTATAATTGTTGTTTTTGTTTATTACACCATTGAACCTGAACGTTGAGAACTTTTCTTTTTCTTTTTTTTGTTTAATTTGTTTGTTTGTTTATTAACGGAAATTGCTAATCACAAGTGATGTTCTTGTTATTCTAAAAAAATACTCTGTTATGTTTTTTCCTTTTAGAACTAGTGGCGGAAGTTGTAATGTACCTCAGGATATACAAAATGGACATGTATCGCTAGCTAATATAGCAACAGCATTTTTAAGTGAACGAAAATCATCATCACGTCGTCAAAATAGTATTCGAAGAAAAACACGTTTGACAGTTAAAGGACAACAAATATCAAATGTAAGACGACAATCAAGTTATCCAACTGTAACAGATGAAATAAAAGATCAAAGATTATCATCAGACAATATGGATGTTGGCATTAGTACACTGTTTGTACCTACTAGTGCAATAACTAATGGTGATAATAAGCATCAATCTAAAATGGTAAAAGAGAAAAAGAAAAAGAAAAAGCAAAAAAAATCTCTTTTGTTTTTTTTCTTTGATGGATTCATATTTTTGTTGATCAACATTACTTTTCAGTTATTATTCAAGTTAAGGATCTAATAATGAATGAACAATAGGTTAAGAATATCATTCATACTGGAATGATTTTAATAAAAAAAGGAAATAATCATGGATAGTATTCATCTTTATTATAAGCTTAACGTTCTCAATGTGAGAAAAATCTTATTGTCTGACCTTTAAATATTGCAATGACTCATCTATTGATAATATTGTATTCATTATAGTTCACTATTTCTTTTTTAAATCAAATGACTATATTTATCATAAGTATGGGTATGAAAAAGAATGATCAAAAAAATCATTGAGTAAAAGTGCTACATAAAAAAAAAAAATATAGAACCTCGATGATTACCATACTATGATCAATAATCTGACTTGATGCATTCTTCCATAATGTGAAAAGAGAAGCTATAATTTTTAGTACATTTTGATGTTAATATGAGGGTAACTATTTTTCTATTTAATATTGATGGACAGCCATTTTCTTTCTGTTTAATCTCCATCTAGAATCATGTCGTCATGACTGTTGATATTTTTGATAAATAACAATTAAAGTCATATAGTTTTCTATGGTATTAATAATTAAGATAAATATTCTGCAGAACGATGAATTAGTTAACATCTTAAGACTTTTTTCTTGAATCAGTAAGTTTACAACGAAGAAACAGATATTACTTATTTGTTAGTGTCTTTCAAATTTCAATAACTATAGTCATCTATCATTTTTAATAAGAAAAAGAAGATATATTTTTTTTTTAGATACTTGGCGTATATTTCTATTAGTAGTTTCGAGATAGTTACTTAAATACTTATTTGATGGCAGTTTGAATGATAAGAATTAAAAGAGAAACTTGTTTTTTTTTTAATGTAAGACTGATATGTTTTTCTTTGTTCTTATTCAATACTTGGTAAAATATGTTTCTATAATTGTAAAAATCTTTCTCTTTGACAAACTTAAAGACAATAATGCATCAAAAACATTGTTTCGTTGATGTTGCTTCTTATGTCTTAATTTATAGAATTTTCTTTAGTGATATGCATTTAACTTTTCTTTTGAATGTGTTCTTTTTATTAGCATTTAAGAAAAATCTAATGAAATAAAGGCATTTTCATGTTCTAACTTTATATATTTTTTTTTGAATAACTATCTATTTATGAAAAAAATAGAAATTTATTGTTGCAATATAATTTTTTTTTTTCGTTAATGTCAAGTAAATTGTGCGGAAACAACTAGTTTGTCAAAGAAGAAGATTTGCATTTTTATATTTCATGTCAATATATGTCATGTTGGTTAGTGTTAAAATTGAGTTCGAGTATGTTTATTTCCTATATAATTCTATCGTTTTTTTTCCTTTCTATTTATTTGATCACCCCTAGTCTACTTTTATGCTTATAGCATCATAGGAGTAAGAATGAAAAAAAAGAAAGCGAAAGAGAGGGAGAGGGAGAGAGAGAATGATTCTCGCTCTAGTCTTTTCTCAATAGAACAAAAGCATAAGTCAACTTCAGAGTTAATACATCACGGAACTTTTCAAAACTCATGAATAATATGAAATCAGTATCTTCTGTTCGTATTCATTTGGATACAACAGACGAACCTTCAAGACGTTCATCATTTGATTTAAATACAATTTCATCAATATTATCACGAACAAAAAATCGATTAAATACAAATGTAACTAGTAGATCATCTTCAAGTCTTGATGGACAACGAACTGCACGTTTGAGTAGTGTCAGTAGTAGTTATGCACAATTTTTAAAACAACGCGATATAGATAAAACTAAAAAGACCGTAAGTCAAGAAATAAAAATATTTAACTCATCGATTATTCTTAATCAAAACTTTCATATATACAGGGTGGCGCAAAAATCAGTTTACCAGAAAAAAATTGAATATCTCCATTACGGCTCGAGCAAACGAGCTGATTTTTTTTTATCAACGATAGAGGAATGTTCGAGCTTTATATTCATAAAGACATACCTAGACAGACCCTTTGTTAAGTATCACCAGTAATCTCAACAAAAAAAATTTACTTTTTTGCAGATAGAAAAAAAACAATATACTTAACGAAGGATCTCTCTAGGTATGTCTTTATGGATATAAATCTTGAACATTCCTCCATCATTGATAAAAAAAATCAGCTCATTTGCTCGACCCGTAATGGAAATATGTAATTTTTGTTCGGTTAAGTGGCTTTTGCACCACCTTGTATATATATCCATATCTCTATATATGATCATTCTATTATTAAATCTAATTAGAATTTCTTTTGTTTAGCTATCACAAGAAGATCATCGTTTGTTATTATCATCGAGTGAATGGGTTGAAGATATAAAAGATAGCGACCCATATGTATCCGTTATTAGTCGACTAAGTAAACAATAATAATCATGAAATTTTTTTTTGAATTATCTTTAAATTTGTTTTCTTTTTCTTTTTTATTAATAAATAGGTGAAGCAATTCAAGATTCTGAAACATACATGGAATTCGTTAAAAAATCTGTTACTATCGTGACAAATACAAGTAATGTATAGATAATAAATCAATTACTCATATATATATATTAATAAGAAATTGCATTTGAATATTCGATTTTCTATTATTTACATATAAATAGAATTTATTATGAATTGAAAATTATAAAAAAAACCATAATAATAATAATAATAATAATATATATATGAAGTGAAATATTTAAAATAAAACAATTAGACTATATATTTCTAATGAACATTAATTTTTTGATTCCCACTATTGGTATTAGATACCATGAATTATATATGACAAATATTTCATTGATATTCTTGATGATTAGTACTAAGATAAATATGATTTGATAGAACTTCAATGTAAATCTAAGAGTTCAAGCACATTCAATTTATACGTCGATAACAAGAAATAATTTGCATGGAAATAATAAGAAACCTTTGAAAAAAGTGTTATACATGAATGAACAATTTTTTTGTTGCCCGTATGATAATATTTCTTCCAATATTAATTAGTTCTCATTTAGTTTCATATTATTTAATATTTTATTGCAATCAATTTCGATCACAGTAAAAAAGAAAAAAAAAAACTACTAAAGAAATCGTGAATGAAATTCAAAATAACCTATAGCTACGTTATCGATTGTCTCTCGATTAATGATTAAGAATCTCTTGTAAAACAATATGATATTTATTTTTAACGGAAAATGTCTAATAAAAATATTTAAGATTGACAGCTGTCTTTACAATGACAATGTTCTTACCAACCTTTAGGTCATAGAGAAGTTAAGTTAGTCTTCAGTCTTTTTTTGTTCATAAAATTAAATCTATAATCTTATACGTATTATGAAGTATACTATTGATAATTAAATATCATTATACATACATCAAATAAAATATCATTATTTAAAAAGCTTTCGATATAGTCATTTTATATTATTGTATGTTTATAGATACATTCTTTTGAATAAATCTGTTTCATAGAACAACTAACTTATTTTTTTCTTAAGATAATTTTTTTTCTGTTGAACATTTCAAAAGAAACTATTTCTTAAAATCTTTTTACTTAAGTTTTTTAAAAAACAAAATCGTACATTAAATTAATTCTGAATCATAAACTATAAAAATGTTAGTGCAATTTCTATAGTGTTAAAATATGAAGCGTGATGTATCTGCTTTTTCTAATCATAAGAAGATTATTTTATTCTACCTGTTTTGGGACACATTTCCTCATCATCTATTTACTTATTCCTCCACAAATACAATAACGAGAAGACGTTATTGAGATACAATATTGTACGAATATATGAACAACGTCTGTCACAGTCTGCAATGTTAGGGCAGTGCTACTAAGGTATCTGTCATATGTATGATGAACGATTTCAAACAGAAACCGAAATCGAATCGACTTAAGAGCAGTTTCTTCATTGACTCTCAAATATGAGCAATAAAATTCACTTCAGTGTAACATTCATATTCTCTGTATCTTGCGCTTTTGCAAATTGTATCGGTCTTTTTGCCTGACAAGTCTACTTACTCAACTATAGCTTGTATTTCCATGGAAAGAAAATGTCAGTTTCTATTGGTTTATTCTAAGATTGATAATTTTAGAGAAAGTAGATGCATGTATCACTGTTTTCATGACTACTTCCTCTTCTACATACCTAAATAATAGGGTTTTCTAATATTATATAGTATTTAGAGCTGTCGAGAAGACTGTTGATAGTTTTCATCCTTTTAGTCAATACACGAATAGCTGTCTATTATTGGTATGGCGGGTATTTGCTGTTTCAATTACATGATTAGCAGTACAGTTATAAATCAATCTAGATTTGATGATTTATTATTGTTCTACATATCGTAATTCTGTAATTGAGATGACAATTGTCTTTGTAAAATTTGACTGAAAACAAAACATTGAGGTTTTCTAATTTAAAGACTGTGGACTTGATCTAAACAAGGTTACGGTTTACTAAATGCAGTTTAAATCAGGTAATGGAAATTGAGTTTGACTGAAAATAGATGGTAGTTTACTCCTTTTTTTTAATATGTACGTCTTCTTCCGAAGAAAAAGATAACTATATTAGTGTTAATTATGCAAATTCAAAAACTACTATCTTTACTGATTGATACAAAAACAAAAAGCATTTGTTTTTATAACACTCAAATTCTAATTTATAATATAGCTCCTGTTTGAAGTTTTCCAAGTTCTCTAAATCCATAGACTTAGCATATAAACACATGAAAATTCAAGTGAAATTTCATGTAGAATATAGATACAATTTATTTATAACAATGAAGGAGTTATCTTTGTATTCAACATTTCTATCAGATCTTATTCCAAAAAAAAAGTTGTAATTTGTTGATTGATTTTCTATTACAAAATTTATATCATTATGTCGAAAAGATTTCAAATATTTATTTTATTTTAGTTGTCGCTACAGCTTTACTGATTTTATTAACTGTTTTTCAAGTCATACTTTTCTTTGTGGGTAAGAATAATTAAATATTTTTTTCGTAAATATAATAATATATGTAGGTGTTAAATATCTTAATGATTGTCCAGTTCAATCAAATTTACCAGTTTATCTACTTGTTGTTGGTTCAATGGGACTTGTACGTGTATTAAACTTATTATGGAAACAATTTCGTAGAAGACGAATGAGAAAATTAGAAGGTGTAGAACTTGATCAAGAAGAAGAAACTGAGAATAGTTTGTATTGACTCATATTTTACTCTAGATGAAAAAGTCTTTTATGTTTCTTGTTTTATAGATGGGTCCGATTTTACAGATGCTGTTTTAAATCTTTTTCTTCTTGCTTGGTTTATTGTTGGACAATATTGGACATGGCGTGTATTTATGCCTAATTTTGAATTTGGTATTGAAAATCCAAATAATTATTGTCATAGAAATGTATATATATTTACACTTATTCATATTGGCTTTGTTTATGTCATGTTTCTTGCTGCTATATTTTTTCTTATTGCACTTGCATGTTGTGCTAGATTTCCACATTTAATTATTAAAACACCACGTTAAAACGAAAGATTATTATGAATATTTTTTGAAATATTTCTAATCAATAGTCTTTCCTTCGTATAGATTATCACATTTAACTTTTGAATAATTTGAAAGATCAAATATTTGAAAGTCAAATACAATTTGATAAATTGAATTGATAGAAAGTGCTCATTTCAATGGTTTTACCTATTCTTGTTGCTCGACTAATCAACTCAAGTATCTCACATTCATTCTGTGAGAAAAATAAAAATATGACTATAATCATAAACACATTGCCCTTAAGCTACAAAAGGACTGCCCTTTTACAGTAGCTTTTGTTTTTGAAATTTTCATGACAAATAGCTCTCGATGAGTTGAGCAAAAATTGTTATAGACACAATATGCTCAAATGTTTTCTTTTAATAGATATCAGGATGGCAAACGGTAAAAGTCATCTCGATTTCTCAGTTGCAACACAATTAATAGAGTTCAATTGTATTTTTTTACAGATGCTTAGCACTGTTCGTGATATCTACTTTTTATTTATTTCCATTTGAATAACAACATCAAAATACTAACGAGGAAACCGTTCGAACTGATATGCGCCGCTTGAGCCTATATTGAACCTACAAGAATGCCTTGGTAGGACTAATACAAGTCTAAAAGAGTATATCTTTATGAATCTTTGAAACCGAGTTATAATCATTTTACTGAATTTTCGACTCAACTTGAAGTATATACTAGAATGTCCTGAAAGTCTCAGACAAAAAGAAGGGTTTCACGTTAAGATATCAAATTTTCAAAAAATATTCGCTGAACTACAAGAATGATACAAAAATCAAGTGTACTTGAAAATTCAACATTTTGATGAAAAAGATACGTTCTTTTCGACTATAACTTTCAGGATATTCTTAAGGACAAAACTGTATTACTTTGTTTTCCAGCAAATACTTAAAATTGAATCGAAAATTCAATAAGACAATCATAACTCGTCTACGGGGACAAATTCTTTTAGACATTCGTTGGACTCAACAAGGTGTCCTTTTAGGTCCAATATGTGCTTAAACGGCGAATATCAGCTGGACGTTTTTCGCTAAAGAGCATATCCCAAAAAATGCATGCTTTTTATGTTTTTATGAGTGAAGCTTTTGTGTAGAACCTGAAAACAACTAGAGATGTACCATATTTTAAAACAAAAATAAACTTCCACACCCTAAGCACATCCTAGTGAAATAGAAGAAAATTTCAACTAGCTCAAGTACACTATACAAGAATTGGTTTTCCAAAAATAGCGAAATAATATGTAAATTTCGATGTTTTTCAGCGAAAATATTTCTTCTTTTTTTCGAGTTTTACACTTATACGTTAATTCTTAAACACTGTCTGTTAGATAGAACCGAAAAAAATATACAAACATAAAAGTTTTCCGTCAGGAAAGATGAGTCCCTTTCAAGATAGATATTTTTGAATCTTATTTTCGCTCACCTTGCTGTTAGTAGAAATAAAGATATGACGTTTACAAGACAATGCTAAAAGAATAACTTGTGAAAATCTGTTGATCAAACTCTTTAACATTCCTACCGTTGGTTTTCGTTTAACTTTAATCAATAAATTAAAAATTAAGAATTTTAAAGATATTTAATTGAGACAATAAACTAGAGTATAATCGCGCATAGAGATAGAGACATAAGCACAGTACTACCAATGTGAAAGAAAAAAAAAGAGGTGATGACAACAAAAAAAATAATAATAGTAATAATAATGAGAAAGAATGTGTGTGTTCTCACTGATCTCTCTGTACAACTAAACACCGGGAACTACACTCTTGCCCGTTCTTTTTTTTTATTTAACGTGATAAAATAGAAAATATAAAGAGACAAACAGACGAACATCACACCAAAAAGAAAGAGAAACGAAAGAAAGTAATAACTGTTCTAATATGAAATGAAGGATGAAACTAATTAGGTATCGATGATAGAACTATTAAACTAATTGTTAATGGAGATCGACTAGTTTTTTTTGAAAGCATCTTCGCCAGCATATGTTGCATTGCTGCCGAGTTCTTCTTCAATACGTAATAATTGATTGTATTTGGCTAAACGTTCAGAGCGACATGGTGCACCAGTCTTGATCTATTTTAATTCAAACAAAGAAAAATAAATTCAATCTTGCATTTAATTCAAATGATATTCGTACCTGGCCAGTGCCTAAGCCAACAACAAGATCAGCAATAAAAGTATCTTCAGTTTCACCACTACGATGACTAACCATAACACCCCAGCCAGCACCACGAGCCATGGTACATCTTTAAAAAAAAAGTATTCACAATTAAATTATATTTTTAAAAACAAAAAAAGGCAAGAAAACCTACGCTGCAATAGCTTCTGAAACTGAACCAATTTGATTAACTTTGAGTAGAAGACAATCACATGCTCCCTTTTCAATAGCCATTTGAATTCGTTTTACATTGGTTACTGTTAAATCATCACTTAAAAAATAAATAAGATTTTATTATTATTATTTTTTTTTTTTGTTTCAATGAAATTTTTGTAATAAATCTTTACCCAACAAGTTGTACACCTTTGCCTTTAACAGCATTCATAAGTTTTTGAAACCCACTCCAATCATCTTGTTCAAAAGCATCTTCAATTGATATAATTGGATATTTACCAATTTGTTCAAGATAATAAGCAGCTAATTCGTCACTTGTTAACTAAATTATAACAAAAATATTATTTCTAATCTTTTTTTATAATTTAATTGTATTTACATAGTGTGGTTTGCCTTTTTCTTTATTATTTAAATCATATTTTTTTTCTTGTTCATCAAAAAATTCACTGGCAGCAACATCCATACCAATTTGAACTTTACCATGATAACCTGCTTTATCAATGGCTTTGACAAGAATATCAAGAGCTAAAATTATTCATAATAAAAAGAAAGTTTTTCTTTTCTTTTTTTTGTTACTATAGAAAATTCTTTATTACCTTTATCAGCATTTTCAATATTTGGTGCAAAACCACCTTCATCACCAACATTAGTTGCATCAAGGCCGTATTCAGCTTTGATTCTAAAAAAAAAAAGATTTTTTTGTTTCATATTGCTGTACAAAATATTAAATAATTAGTTATATCTTACAAATTTTTTAAATGATGATAAACTTCTGAACCCATACGCATAGCTTCTTTAAATGTTTTAGCTCCCGTTGGTAAGAGCATAAATTCTTGCATAGCAAGTTTATTACCAGCATGGCTACCACCATTAATGACCTATTAGATTTAACCAATAAAGTATTAAAAAAGAGAGATAATTAAAATAAAACATTTTAACTTACATTAAATGACGGTACTGGTAGTCGCATGTTTGAATTTGAAATCTTAGCAATATATTGATATAAAGGTAAATTACTATGTGCCGCACTAAAGAAATAAAAATGAAATTTAATTAACAAAAAATAAAAACAAATCGGATGCAAAATAATTTAAATCAAATCTTAAAAATCATTCACATATAAAAAGTTCATGTGATGCATAAATCTACTGAGAATGTACCTGTTATTTGCAGTAGAAATTAAGAGTATAATAGTTTCATATCAGTTCTTCTTACGAGCAAACGTTTTCATGTGTCAAAATGTTTTTCAGTTAGGACTAGAGAAAATTATTTTAGAGTTTATTCCTATCGCGTCTAAAATAATTCTTCAATACTCATTCTTTGTTTATTTATTTAGTCAATAATTAGCATTGTCTTCGTCATCTCTGTTGAATTATGATCTGATTCCTATCATTTATAAGATAATTTGCCTAAAACTATAGAATATTTTACTATAAACTTAAGCTCCCATATCGACAATCTTTTCTCTCGTGGTCACGTACATTTCTAGTTAGGACTATCTGCATCATATAATTCTTTATGGGCTATGAGTACCCTGAAACAAGCTTGGACTATCAACTTATTGCTGACAGGATATAACATTTTTAAGCATAATGTTATAGTCTGCCTCAAGAATACCAAAAAAATTAAATTTCAAATTGAGATTTCAAATTTTGCCAAGAGTTAGGTCTTAATGAACATAGTTCATTGTGAAAGTTTTAGATTATCTGATTGCTTCAGTTCTGTAATGTAAACATCGAAATATGTGAGTATCTATGAGTGACGTAGAAAGACTTACTTTTATCATATGTGTATATTAGAATAGAAAACACAAGATGATTTCAAACTTTTCTAATTTACTATTCTTGTTAACTTTTGTCTCTGTGCAAATCTTTAGCTCGAAATTTAATTATCCTATAGAAGGCTACGGCATTATGCTTAATAATGCCATATCTTGACAGTGATAAGCTAATAGCTTGAAGGTGTTTCAGGATATTCACAACTCATTAAGATTTACATGACATACATAATTCCGACTTAAAAATAATTTGGCATTTTGAAGCGTTCCATCGTTAGATAGGCTTGTGAATTCAATAGACATGAATGGGATTAAGAATTTTTCGTTATAGCTCTAAGCTTAGAAAAAATTTTTATAACAGAAAAAAATCAAAATAAATCTTCATCACCCTCATTAGATTTGTTATTTTTAATCTCTATTACCTTAATATTTAGTTAAACATTAAACGGATATATTGAGAACAATCATGATAGTGATTTATATTCTCTTTCTGTTAATCAATTAATCAATTGTATTTAAATCATAATGATATGTTTCTTTTTAATAGTGACACAGAATGATAACGGAATCATACTAGACCTTTTTTTTTACCTTCTATTCACTATTGTAGAAAACTAACCAAATACATATTGTAAAATCCAAAACTAATCTTAATATATGAGTTACTAAACTAATGAGAAATAAAGAAATTCTTCGAATAGTTAATAATTGATAAATATTAATTTTCTATATAATTCTATTATGATTTAGTTATAATCAAATAAATGAGTAATACAAAGAGAATCTAATTAGTATTAAACATTCATAGGATCAATTTGTCTTTGGTTTCGCTTTTAATCATAATAAATATCGAATCAAATCCATTCCAAAT